AAGGTGACCATGTCGCCGCTGGCCCACCTGAATGTCCCCTGTTCCTCCATGTCTGAGAGACCAATCCAGAAATACTTTGCTGGATTGAATCCAATTACAGAAGTCAGAAAAGCTTGTTCATATCTGTGAAGAAGAAGTAGCAAGGTGATGTATCACATTTTATCATAATGTGTTCATTTCTTCAAACAGTTCATTGTAGCAAATCTGGTAAAGGTGATTTATTAATGTGTGAGAAAAGATAGGTATGGATTGAAGGAAGGATAGTGATCTTACTTTTATAGTTCTAATTGTCATGTAAATTAATTTTTATTTTATATTTTGGCAATGTAAAGCATGTTTAGAATTTAGAGTGATTCTATTCTCCTTTTGTACTCCACAATGAACAACATAAAACCAAACACTACTTGTGTTAATGCATATATGTTATTCATTCTGTATTAATAAGTGCTACAGTGTTTTAATGAGCTTTATAAAGTCTAGATCTTTAAATCGTGTTACTCTGGGGAAATAAATCTACTTTCATTCTAAAAAGAGTAAGTTTCCATAATGGCCTGTTGCAAAGAAAAGGCTGAAAAGTTCAAATAAATATTACCATGTTTATCTGTTTATTTTCAATTCAAGAAGTTTTAAAACAATCTGACTATTCAGGGTTGCTGGGGGGTTGACTCAATTTTTTAGCTCCTGGAGTAAATAAAAGTGTAGGTTTGTAGTAGCAACGGCTTGAATGTTCATACTGATGACATACAAGCCCTTGATGTATTTTGTAATATATCTTCAGTTCTACCACAAATTTTCCAGCAAAGGAGTGATGTCATATTAGACACTATGACTAACTGCAAAGTAAGAAGAGATTTCTGTTTGGCCCTTCCATCCTGTTTGCATGTGTGAAAGGACAAGAATTATGTTTCCATACCTGTCTGCCACAGTAGCCAGGTAACCTTTGTTTTCTTCGCAGATTTTTTTTGCTTCTGAAAATGTTGCTGGTAACTGCCCCACGGAGTAGCAGTAAAAGCCATGCTTCACCCAGCCCTGTCAGTGCCAACAGCAGAGATGCACAGAGGGGCGGTCAGGTTACACAGTACAGGACACTTCCAAAAGCCACGTTAATACCACACCCCGAGTCAAAATTAATCTCAGAAACCATGACAGGAAATGAAGAGGAGAATCAGACACAGGTTTTGTAACCACAGCTGTGTCTTGCCCCTTGGTAAACAACACATAGGGTATCTTTGCGAGCAGTGAGCAGCGGTTATGAGTTGGAGCTGGCAAGCACGCTCCTTGTGTAAAGCCTGCTCTGCCTTCTCACTGTGTCACTGCAGCTGTTGCAAGAGGCTACAATTTGCAAAACTTCAGCTCAAGTATTCCTGCCTCCTGTGGTGGATTGATCGGGCTGAGAAGGCTGCTTGCCACCCAATAATGTCATGCAGAGAGCAGCTTTTATGGGTGAAGGGACCAGTTCTGCACTGGGAAAGAGCTGAGTAAAGTGCCCATGTAAGGGAGTGAAAAAAAAAGACGTTGATCTAAGTTTTGGTTAAACAAAGAAAAAAATTCCCCATTAGGCTGAGATGTATCAATACATACAAAATTAACAGTTCTTTAGGGTTACACCAAGAACAGTCAAAATAATTGACTTCTGTGATACTCAGCGTCAGGGGAGTGAAAGTAAGATGCAAGGACCGTTCACTGCTTCTGTTTTACACTCACCTTCTGGCAGCCTGGGTAAGTAACCTCAGCTTCCCCTGATTCTTCTGCCAAAGGCTTCCTTTTACAGATGTAACCAAGTTTCGTTTCACAAGCACTGTCAGCCCAGGATCCATCCTGAGCATGGTAAGAAAAAACCACAAAGAGAAGTGAAATCTAGAGAAAATACAGATCCAACAGGAATATTCACTGTCCTCAGAGATCCCCTTCTCTCTTCGTGTGGCTGAGGCTGTTCCAGCTCTCTTCCTTGCCCTGATGCTTTCTCCAAAACCCCTAAAATAGGGAACCCAATAAAGACAGCGAGGACCACATTTCCTCAGAGGTCTGAGAATGAGAGTTGCATGTATTAAAGGCTCGGTGGCTGATGAGAGCAGGAAGGAAACACAGTGTTTCACTCCATGCTCACCAGCATAATATTTGTTAGGTTCATATAACCAGATGACAATGACAAGGAAATGCTGGATAAATTCAACATAAAATATGAAAAATGTGTTAAGTCTTTTTCCATAGTATTATGAAATGTCATTTTATACTCAGTATAAAACAAGATAGAATTTTTTGTACCCATTTTTTTGTGCCTCCAGCAATATGAGCCTCCAAAATAGCTCTAATAAACATATATATCAGGTTTTTTATGGGAAACCTAAGAAAGTCTCTGCCCCAAGAATCATACTACTCAGCTATGATTAGCCGTGTTGAATGTGGATGATGAGTTACTTCAACCAACTTCACACTGGAGCTTTTTCGTAACTGTTGCAGAGCTGACCGAGTCTCTGTGCAGCACAACTTGCTGTACACCTTCCCAGGTCTGGTCTCCAGTCTCCCTCTAAGCTAAGATATCCTGACTTAAACCAAGTTCCTAAAAACCTTTAAAACCCTTGTCCCTTTTTTTCTTTTTTTTCATTTTTTTAATCACAGATGTTTTCCTTTGGGGGGGGGCACAAAGGACAGAAGAAACCATGAAAGTGAAAGAGCAATTTTAACCTCTCCCTTCATAACGATGCAGTCTGCCTTATTCCGTGTGTGGGCTGGCTCTCCGTGATGCCACTTGGTATAAGTCACAGGTGTCCCGTCGCTCCATTCAAAATACATTTGAACCCTGAAGTCATTTAAACCAATCCACAGTTCATCGTCTGGCTCTGGGAACACAAACCTAATTATAGGTACGGGTATTTCTTAACAGGGAACAATTGCATCTCACACCCACTTTTGACAGAAGAAGGACTTTTTAAAAACATTTTAAGATCATGGTTACAATGATTAAATGGATAATAGCAACAGCATAAATCCAGATAAAAAAGTGACCTCAGGAATACTCACTGTACCCAAGCTGAGACACTGTAAAACTGTACTCCTCTATATTATGAATACTCGCCAGCTCTCCATCTTCTTTTCTACAGGAAGACTGGGCTTCTTTCCATATTTTGGGTGTTCTGTAAATTCTGTAGCAATGACCTGCATAAGGCACCCATCCCTTGGGGCACTTAAAAGGCTTTAAGTCACCTAAAAAAATATTTCGAACAATTAATGAGCAGTTCTGTTCAGTCCTGTTTGATCAAAAACTAAATTATCTGTACTGACATGAATTCAAAATATTGGAGCACATACTGGCAGAGGACAGAAGCAAAAGTCTGGGGATCACAAAGAATATGAAACAAATTTTTCCATCCGAATTGTCCTGGGAGCAACCAAAAAACTCTTTTACAGGATTAAATAAATACCAAGTAATTCAGCATACAAGCTCGCAGGGCACAACTCTGTGTTAAATCCCCCTCAGTGAGGCTCTGTGTACAAACATGTCTTACAGAATACGGTCTCTTTTCCTACACAAGCACTTTATCTTGGTGAATTTTGGAGATTTTGTATACATTTTCTCTGGAAATACCAGGTGCTCAGGACAGAGTTGGAGCTCCTGCACAGCCCAAATGATACATCGGAGGGCCCAGACACATTTACGTTATACCAGACGTGTCAGAAATCCCAGCTGCGTGGAAATGCAGCACACTTCCTTCAGCAGCTAATTCTTGGTGTGAATTTAGTGTGACCAACCATAGAATCACAGAGTAGAATCATAGAATCATTAAGGTTGGAAAAGACCTCTAAGATCATCAAGTCCAACCGTCATCCCAACACCACCATGTCTACTAAACCATGTCCTGGTGGGTCCCCATGGGACCATCTTCCACTGTTTTGATTGTTCGCATGGCCCACACCTATAAAGTAAACTGAAGCGGGCAGGATTTGTGCCCAACATTGGTGTGTGATCAACCACATTGTTCTATGCTCCCTGGATGTAGTTTTGACCTGCGCAACCTCGTGTTCCCCTAGGCAACTCCAGGTATGGTTTGGAGGTTAGCACGGGTTGGAAACCATTCCCAGCGAGCTGACTGGCTGCACACAGAATGTACAGGATGCCAGCTATGACGTGCCATTCATCCCTCGAGCAAAGAATACTTATATACTAGTATACATGTAGTGTAGGGAGCTACTACAGAGTTAGCAGAATGCTGGGAATTCCCAGGTGAAGTAACTGGACACCATTTTCTTCATATAGATAAGACCCAGTTCGCCTCAGGTGGAAAGGGAACTCGATTGGGAGAAGATGCCAGCTCTATATTCTGAATGTTTTCTTTCAGAATAGAGCAAAAAGGGTCACAGAAAGTAGGGGGAAGATGAACTCTGGCTCACTTCTTTTTGCAGAATGCATCTGTAGTGTATTTTTCAGAGCACAGGATATTCATCAGTACTTCGTGGTCTGAATAACATGACTAAACACATAAACCTACCCTGGGATATTTTCAAAATGATGAACAACATCTAGACACCATCTTTAAAATGAGCTGGAATTTGGACAACACCCTGTCATTTCATATATGGCATCCTCTCAGTATTTCTCCCTCACTGCAAAAATAGCCTTATCTTTTGACCAACTTACCTGAGGCAATAGTGGAGGAATCTGAGGAGGAGTTTCTCTTTTGGCAGATATATCCCAGTTTCCGATCACACACCTGGTTTTCCCATTTGCCATTTCTACCTTGGAAGGTCCCACATATTTTTCCAGATTCCGCAGAGGGACTTCCTTTAGGGAGGAGGCACAACACACAGAGAATACCTCTGTTAACACTGAAAAAGTACCCCCCTCATCACAGGACAGAACGTACAAGTCTTTTGCAGCTGCAAAGCCACTGGCATATTATTCTTTAGCATGATAATTCCCAAGACAGGAGATGAGGGAGCACTCCTGGGATGGCTGAGAGGGCCGACATTTCAACATGAGACTTCCTCTGCTCCCATGTACTGCTTAAGAAGAAATTCAGTGTGTTTGAAGCACTACTGCATACAGAAAAAACTTTATACAAATAATGCTTTTCTATAAATTGCTTATGGGATGGTAGTACTGCAAACAACACCCTTTACTATTAAACACTGGACATGAAATGCATATTTAATTCCACGGGAGTGCTCGCCCTTTGAATTTCCCTGTAGCCACAACAGCTATTATGAAAATACATAATATGCCAATGTTATGGGTTTAACGTGGTGAGGTTTTGGTAACAGGGGGGCTATAGGGGTGGCTTTTTTGAGAAGTTGTGAGAAGCTTCCCCCATGTCTGATAAAGCCAGTGCCAGCCAGCTCTAAGACGGACCCACTGCTGGCCAAGGCCAAGCCACTTAGCAATGGT